CGTCGTCATATAACGCCTCAATTGCTTCCCATAAGGCGTCATGCGGTGCAACCTCATCCTTGGTAGCCTGGCCTACAAGATGATCGTGATTAAGAGTGAATCGCTGAAAGTGTGTTTCCAATGATTTAAGCTCGTGCTTCAGTTGAAATACGTCGTGGGTTTCGCAGCTGGCTTCACACACCCGCGCATGTATGCGCTTGATAGCATTGACGGCCGCTGAGCGCCAGTTTAATTCCGCCATGTTCACCAAAATGAAACAAAAACAATATATACATATGTTGTCCCCACAGGAGGCACCAAGAAATGTTACAATGATGTTACCAATATAATCCTTTATTGAAGAAAGAAGAACTTTTACAGTTGAAATTTGCCTTTTATACCTTGNAATGATGTTACCAATATAATCCTTTATTGAAGAAAGAAGAACTTTTACAGTTGAAATTTGTCTTTTATACCTTGGAAAAAATAAGTAAGATGTACAATGAAAGGAAATGTCAAATCATCAAGACTCGAAAGTCGAGGCTCGAAGCAAATGAATTCAAGTGAATAGAAAACAAGGTTGCATTAATTCTAAAGTACTTAAGTGACTTAATCATATTGAACANTTGTCTTTTATACCTTGGGAAAAATAAGTAAGATGTACAATGAAAGGAAATGTCAAATCATCAAGACTCGAAAGTCGAGGCTCGAAGCAAATGAATTCAAGTGAATAGAAAACAAGGTTGCATTAATTCCAAAGTACTTAAACGACTTAATCATATTGAACACTCATTGAAATTATTTTCAGCGTCTCACTCGACCAAATGAGTAAAATCCAGCTGGGTAGACTATACTCGATAGAGACAAAAATTGCCGCCACAAATAAGAGTTAGTGTGTTCTTGTTTTGGTGGAAATTACTTTTAGTCATTTTTGAATTAGTGTAAGTGCTCATTTGCACTAATTTTTATGGATCATGAATAAGTACACTAATCTTATTAGTACTCAAAGCCTGTCTCTGATAGGGATGTAAAAATTTTAATCAAGGAGTTGCCGCTTTCCTCTTTTTGCGTGGGTTTTTATAATAAAAAAAAGTTTCAAAACAATAAAAAAACTCATTGCTGTTCCGGCATCTGTAAAACTTCATATGGGAAGATGTATAAGAAGCCAACTTGCTATAAATTCATGATTCAATAATTCAAGGTTTGCTCACTAGTGACTTTAGAGTTTTGCTTAACTCCCTTACAAAAGCTTTGCAAGCACACACGAACCCACACACAGTGCCTTGCTTAGTCGATGTTCAGACACGAATACTATTGTTGCGGCAACACGAAGCTTGAAGGGAAAGGAGCGACGAGGAAAGGGGACGGGTACCGTGTTGCTCGTACTCGGGCAACACGCTTTGTGCTCTCGTTCGTCTGAACAATTGAAGTTGGCGGTTCACAGCTGGCAACAACAATTACGTACAAAAGAGTTGCTGTGTGTGTGAATGCAAAGGGCAGCACTAAAAGAGAAATCGCCGATAATAAGCAACTCGAGTTTTCGTGTCTGAACACAGACTAATACCATTTTCCCAGGGCATCCTAAATTACTTTACGATCGCGAATTACCCCATTCCCACGAGAACATTCTTAATTCGTCCTGAAATATCCTAGCCATAAATGCGATTGCTTTATAAAAAAGAGGACCATTTTTAAATATGTGTGTTTCTGCTCTCTAGAAAATAATTTATGCAATCTCACATACGCGGTTTTGCATTATCTTGATGCATTTTGTTGATACGCAGTTTTGTACTTTAATGGTGCATTTACATGCTGCCATGAAGCCATATGAACTGCTGATACACTAAAAGAGAGGGACTACATGTTCCAATGAGGAATTAAATGATATCGAGTGGGATGTACATAATAAATATTTTCATATGAAAAATTATGGGGAGATACTGTAAACATACTGTTGTGATACTGCTATGAGGAGGGTTTTGTCGAAGGCTGAGATGAGCTCAGCCGATCCAGAGTCCAGCCTAGGTCCCACTAACCCCCACCAAATAAAACACACTATTTCCGTGTATTTACCTCGAACACACACACACACAGCGATATGACTAGAGTGCCAGAAACCTTATGTCCAAAGAGAGGGAGAGAGCGAGAGAGTGAGAGGTAACGTTCGTTGTTGTCGGACGGTCGGGCCGGAGTGGATGACGATGAGAGCGCTAGCAGCACGGATGACTCTCAGGAGCGGCGGAGCAACGGTGAGGGCGCTAGCAGTGCGGCGGGTGACTCTTGGCAACAGCGAAGCAACGGTGAGAGCGCTAGCAGCACAGTGGGTGAGTCCCAACAACTGTTGAGCAACGGTGACCAGCGGCGAGCGGCCCGACGGGTGATCTTCGGCAGCGGATGACTTCTAATAGCAACGGATGGTTCGTACTGTTACTCGGCAATCGATGGAGCGACCTAGCGAGACTCCGTCAGGTACCGCCGCTCCCATAATTGCACACTACGTGAGGTGCGGCGGTAACCGCGGCTCGGCCAGCCGGAGACGATTTAGTGCGTCCGAAGACACACCACTAGACGCCAACCGGCTGGTCAAGCGATGTTTGGGTTAACTAGTCAGAGACGATTTGGTGCGTCCGAATACACACCGCTAGGCGCAACCGACTAGTCAAGCCCAACTCAACCCATTTAGAGAATTTATCGACCAGGACGAGGAGGCACGTGTTTCCTTGTTTGGAGCGTGTAAGTGGTCCGACAAAGTCGGCCGTGACGACTTCCCATGTTCGCGAGCACTGAATGGTGGCCATTAATCCTGCTGGTCGTCTTTGTTCCACCTTGTACTCGGCGCAGGACAGGCACCTTCGTACATGTTTGAGTACGTCACGTTACATCCCAGGCCAGTAGTAGTTCTGCTGTGCTCGTTTGA